TGTACAACAAGTCACTCAGAAAGAATGCAACAAGACTAAAGCAGATCTGTTCAAAAGCCTAAAGTCTGCAATTAATACTGAATCTCCATTCCCAAGCAATCCAGAAAAGTACGTATTCAATCTTTCAGACATCACACTGTCTACTACCCAACTAGAGGCAATATCTCTAGGTCAGAAATTCTGCGTAAAACCACCAAGTATTGATGAGCTACAATGCCAGGTTCAGTTAGAAGATCTAATAAACCAAACTTACGATCTCACACTCACATCAGATGAAAACCTACAACAACTCAAAGCATCAATCCTCGACTGTTGTCACAAGTTTATAAATACCAAACCCAACGGAAGGTCCATTTTGACGAAGAGGCACTATGAGGAGCTGAAAGAACTTATGAAAAACGAAGAGATTATGATATTACGTCGTGTTAAAGGCAGAGGAATCGTAATCATGAATCGCAAAGACTATATCAGTAAAGTGTTGACTATACTATCCGATGAATGCAAGACCGATCAACGAGAAAAACATGACTGAACAGACCGAACAAAAGCTAATGAACACCCTTCGTAAGCTAAAGACTGAATCTTTCACCAGCAACGAAACCTTCGAATCCCTAAGACCATCTGGCTCAAATATACCACGACTTTGCGGACTCCCGAAAGTACACAAGAAGGGGGTCCCTCTTCGACCGATCCTCGACATGACCAATTCGCCATATCACCGCACAGCCCAATGGTTAGCAGACCTACTAGAACCAATCAGAAGACAAGTTTCCTGCCACACAGTTCGAGATTCATTCGACTTTATCAACTCAATCGAAAACATCAACGTATCCAACAAGACCATGATTTCATTAGATGTCACATCACTATTCACAAACTTTCCACTGACTGAAACAATATGCTATATATGTGAACTTATTCACCCCAGAGGAATAAACATCGGTATACCCACCGAGCGTCTTAAAGAAGTCCTACTGAGGTGTACCCTGAATGTTCAATTCTCTTTTAATAACGAAATATATCACCAAAAGGATGGTATAGCTATGGGCTCACCACTAGGCCCATTGCTTGCAGATTTCTTCATGGCAAAACTCGAAAACACATACCTGAAGAAAATGATCGATACCTTCGAAATCTATAAGAGATACGTCGACGACACTTCCATCATCGTCATCAATGAAGAAAATCTAGACGACATCTTGAAGTCGTCTAACAACTGCCACCCCGCGATTCAGTTCACGCTGGAGAAAGATTCCAACTCTAAAATATCCTTTCTTGACGTCCAACTGACAAGACGAGAACAGGATGGAACACTGTAAGGATCTATCTACAGAAAGTCGACGTGGAACGGACAGCTTACTAACTTTCACAATTGGGTACCTCTACACACCAAACGAAACCCGATCTGTTCACTCAGCTACAGAGTTCGCAGAATTTGCACCCCGGATACCATAGAAGATGAACTGGACAATTTCAAGAGAATCCTCGTAGAGAATTGTTATCCAGAACAATTTATTGCAAAATCTATGAATCCTAGACTAAAAAAGCCGCCCATGCTTAGCCTCCCAAAAAACTACTCTATATGAACCTTCAATTCAATGGAGATATATCCGCGGAAACACTAAAAAATCGACTGTCGCGCTCACTTAAGAAAACCTTCTTCACAGCTGAACTACGCGAATAACCCTCTCCACGAAACCTATGATTTGTATGAACGTGAAGGATGAGCTACCACTGCTGACCTCATCAATGTGTATCTATCAATTCACCTGCTCGTGTGGAGCCAGGTATGTTGTCCGTACCCGGCGTTCGCTTTCCAAACGTTTCACCGAACACTTACTAACATGGTTTTACAAAGGAGAGAAATGATGCCGCCGCAGCTCCATCTTAGAACATCTGATAGAATCCGGACACCAAGCTACACTCCAAACAAACTTCAAAGTCGTCTACAGAGTAAGAAGTAGTCTTCCTAAAGGTGTACGAATCAGACTTCTTCAAACTGCAGAAGCAATGGCGATTCACTTGCTAAGTCCTGAACTCCGCATACAGAAGAAGTTCGTTCAATCACTACACTTGCAATGGACGTAATCTATCTTATTACCCGACTAGTAAATTCTACCTTATCTCTTTTTTCCGTCTCGTCATTAGTATTATTTTGTCTTCTCAATTGTAATATCTTACATTTTCAACCTTCTTGTTCTCTACCCCACCCGATTCAATTTCTACACCTCACTACCACTGTTACTGACTTGACCAACGCTCAATTTCTAGTCATTCATTTATGTTACGTCATCCAATTTATTCGCTCAATTTCAGTTCTAATTTAAATAGCACTGTTCTCTACCCCACTTCTACATAGTCTCTACTTGTAATTACCTCTGTTGCTACCCTGACCTAAGTTGAAACATTTTTAGTCAATTATATTGTGTCATCTAACTTACTAACTCAATCTTACTTTAGTTGCTGTCTGATTAACCTTGTTTCTATATTAGATCATTCTTTTATTACCTGATCAATTATCTAAACTTGACAAACCTCATGTACACACACACACAAATAATTATATATAAATGTGCTGTACAGCTATGTGATTGAATTCGCCGAAAAGAGTGTTTTCGCTGAACGTCTTCTCTTTTTCATATCCCATGTCTAGCAAGATTTTTATGCTACAATTACCTAGTTGACCCCGATCGACTAGTTCGACCTATATAATTGACCTCACTAACAGTCATTACATGCATGGTATTTGGTAAATTATATTACTTTTCTTAATTGGATCTATTCGGTCCTTAGGCCGACAAAGTAAATCTCTGAGATAGTTGGTTGTTTCGTTTATATGCCACCCTAATTCCAGCGTGATTGAGAATTCTACGTAAGGCCTCTGATATCTCTTCTTTATACAGCAGTGCTACAGAGAGGCTTTGAATTCAATATCATTTTCGTCACTCTCATTGCTAGTCTCAGCTTTTCTATGCTTCTTCTAATATACTTCTGAATAAATCCTGGTGGGTAGTGTGTTATTCACTATCTGTTTGATTTCGTTATTCAAATATTCTGACTTACTAGTTAGGCTGTTGGTCCGATTTATGATATAGACTTTTAACTAAACCCATCTGTACCACCGATTCTGGATGGGATGAATTAAAGTCTAAGTATTTTGCATTAGAGTGTGTCGGCTTCCTTTCTATAAATGCTAGCTAGTATCTAACCACCCACCATCTCTTTTTCCTTTTATTCTAGTCTAGCATGACCAACTCACCTTGTTCGTTTTCTAACTTTATATGTGTAAAAACCTGAGGGATATGTTCAGATTTCAACACAGTGATGGAATGTGCCATCTACCATAACCTAGGAGCAGCAGGTTCTGAGAGCCTTACGTTCCCAACTATTCATAAATATATCTGCACCTATTGGGGATCCCATTTCCTTGTTTATAAAGTTTATTTTTTATTTAAACGCAGAAAAAACTTGGTACAAATATGGAACCAAGAAAGATGCGTCACACAGTTTTATTTCATTTTTTGTGTGAAGGCTGAGACACTGCCCGGGCGCCCAGACCGAAGCAGGTGGTTTTATTAAGGGACCACCCCCGGAGCCTTTGACTTGGAGTCTAATCCGCAAGGCAGCGGAGCAGTGTCAGGAGCTGCATTCCCATGGTTGCCGGTGACCCCATATGGGTTCATACGCCATTTGATCCGATTGGATTCTGGAGTCCATGTACCCCATGATAACTGCTTTTAGTTTAACCGCTATCCAAACAACCTTCCTGACATAGTAGGACCCGCAGGGACATGAGCTCCAGCCAGTTTAGCTTGTTGGGACATTGCGGTATCCAAGCCCGACCACCACGACAAGGTGGTAGCAGTTGTCGGCCAGGATAGTTTATTTTGGAATTTGAATAAAGTCGAGGTTAGACAACATAACTGGACACCTAATGTGATTTCATCAACCGACAGCAGAGCTTAGTCCTTCTTCTGAGTTCAGGATCAATGTTCATTTCATTACTAATTGCCTCCAGAGTTGTACTCAATGCGGGAATATCAGTATGTAGACTGGTTATGTCAAAACTAATCACTTGTTTTCGTCTTTTTCTAATTGAATTTCCTCTAGTCCACCTTATTATGTAACTGTATCAAGCTTATTCAACTTCCTTGATATGTTAATGCATGTTTTTTAGACAACACATTTTCACCCCTCTCCACCACCCCCTTCTCACCTAGTTATATACATATATATGACCAGTAGGGTAGAGCAGGTTGAAGATGAGGCAGTAACTCATCGAAGAAGACATTGCGGAATCGTCGCCCTATGTCATGAATCGGCAGAAGTTAGAATTCATGGGCTGGCCATTAAATCGGGTCCCAGTGGCTCAATGGTCTATGAGCTAGCTCATCTTGTAACCAGAAGGTCCTAGGTTCGAACCCCGGTGGCGGTGGGTGCGTACTGCTGGAGAGTCCCAAACTAGGACGGAACAGCTCTCCAGTTTCCTGACTGATATCAAGCCCGTGATGAAATCCTTCATCCAATCAAATAAAATCCCTACAAAACCAATACTTGCACAGCTAAGTGATGAATGAATTCACCGCCGAAACGATACTCTTCGCTGAACCACGCGTTTTGTTTTCACTAACGTCTAGATGGGGAGGGGGCGTGGGATTATTCATATTCACAGTTGGTTATCCTGCAAAATACTACACGCGCACTACACACATGATCTCTCGCCTACTATACGGTCTACATTGGAAGCAACAAAAAAACAAACAAAAAACAAATGACTCATGAATATTGTGAGAATACCTAAATCCTAACATTGTATTCAAAAAATTTTTTCTTACACTAGACAAAATGTCCAAATGCGTGTATGTGTAAGATAAAATGCAAAATCAGAAGGGTGTACATAATAACTTTGAATAACAAAAATGGTGACAGCAGAAAGAGAGAGAGAGAGAAAGAAAGACGGGGGTGGAAAAATAAACAAAACGGTTATGAAAAAAATATCTTTAAAAAATCCTATATCTAGCCATCAATGTCAATCGCAGCAGATCATGTTCCTCCTTCATTTGTACTAACAGTTTATTCGTTTGATCAAGTTTACATTCAAGTTGAGCAAATTTGTACAGTAATTCATTATGAGACCAGTTTAATTCAGACATCATAGATGATAAGCGACTATCAAGATGCTTACTTAATGCTTCAATTGGTATATGTGGTGAATCCGCAGTTGTATGTCCAGTTTCTTCTAGTTTCTCTGTATCAACGGTACTAGAATGACGACTAGATGTATCACTGCTTATCAGTAAACTTTGATCTAACAATGATCGACTTGAATTATCAATATTGGTGAGTGAGTCTGATTCTGGTTGATCGAATTCATGCAGTATTTCTGCCCATCTTGTTTGTGATTTAGACTGTTCTGTTTTTGCCGTTGTTTCTGTCATTGTTGTTGTTGCCATTGTATTACTTAATTCGCTTAATGCTTGACGAATTTGACTATTATTCCATGTTAGATGAGTACCATTCATTGATTCACTGTTAGAATTCTCATCGGTGATTTGAGAAGAAGTTGATAAATTGGATAATACCGCCTCCTTTGATGTAAATGAATCCCTAAAGGAAGTAATAAAGGATAGAAAATAAAAAAACAATACTCAAATTACTGATAATGAATACGTTAAATCAATAGTTCTACCAAATTCTGATTAAGTGCAAACGGTATAAGTGTGCAAAAGTATCTTCGATTCTTGTTGATAAAAAAACAAACATCTTAAAATACTAACAAATTGGCTGAAGAGGTAGGCCGGCAACAAAAACAGAACTCGAAGTGAACATAGAGAAGATGGAGGTGATGAAGACAACCAATGGACCGCACCAATCACTATCAACGGGAGAGCCTTAACAGAAGTTACCTCCTTTACTTATCTAGGCAGCCAGCATTGTTTCAACTACAGGCGGAACGGATAAAGATGTCAAAGCCAGCTAGCCAGTCAGTCAGATTCGGAAAGGCAAGATACGCGTACATCAACCTGAAACCAGTTTGGGAATCTTCTGCTCCACTCAGCATAAGGAACAAGATTCGCATCTTCAACACCAATGTCAAGTCGGTCCGTCTATACGGGTCAGAAACTTGGCCAGTGTGTCACGTAAAGGATTTCCAACAGGTTGCAGACTTTCATCAACAGCTGTCTTCACTTCATAGTGAAGATTAAATGGTTAGCAAGAATTAGTAAAAAGACACTGTAGGAACAAACCAACGAAGAACCGATCGCTCAACAAATATGTAGGAGAAAAATGGAGACGGATCGAGCATACATTAAGGGTATCGTCGAATGAAATCGCGCGCCAGGCCATTGGTCAGGTGGAATCCAAGTGAGAAGCAACGAGTGGGACGTCAGTGCAAGGGTGACATGGAGCAGGTCGTGTGAGGAAGAGATGAGAGATCATGGAGAGTCATGGACCCAGCTGAAGAGGATGGTAGAAAATAGAACAAAGTGGAGATGTGTTGTTGAGGTCCTATGTTTCACCCGGAACCCAAAGGAATAATAATAAAATACTCTGATATTATATACCAGAAAATAAGCATTTACGGACAAAAATTAAATGGACGCTTGATGCTATTCATTAAATGATGACAGAACAGATTATTTAGGTTCCTTGGACTATCTTTATGGATAAACCGATAGATTCATGGTATCTTCTTCAGCGTTAATAAAACAGCTGAGTTTTCAACGAAATCTATCAGTTTAAGTTGTTGTACTTCATTAAAGAATAAGTACAAGGAGAACAATGAAAGTCTGATAGATCTGGGAGTTCACATAAGGGGTAAATGTATCTGTGTCGTTGAGAATGATTCGAGTCATACCATGAACAGTCCATAGCTATTGATTCTTAGTGGCTTGAGGAACCTAGCCAAGCGATATACATCTAGTTAAGTGACTCAAACGGCGAAGTTCAACAATAGCGTCCCAGGAGTGCGAACGCTCCAATGACCTCAAACGCATGCTTGCCGTTGACTAACGGCACCTTTCATTATCATAGCTGGAATATCAACGCTATTCACCAACTAAGGAGCAAATTTGACCTAGATCACATTTCTTAAGTACTGTTTGCACAATGTGTTAATAGCTCGTTAGGGTTAAGGCGAGTATTGGGGTTAGGGTTAGGATCAGGGTCATTATTAGCATTAGAGTTAGGCTTACGGTTAGGGTTAGCGTTAAGTTTAGAGTTAGGGTGAGGATTACTTTTAGAGACAGATTTTATGATGATGCCATTTATTTTAATTTGTTTTATCCACATTTTCCAGGTAAGTAGTCGTTAGTCCTCTTACTGGAAACCACAGTAATTCAACCGAGGTCTTTTGGGGAAGACTGCACAACGGGATAAGAGAGATAAACGATTCACAAAAACAGCTCATCACTAGTCACCTCTGTGAATGCATGTACAGAAACTAGTCTATCTTCGCAACTGATACTCCTCGTTATAACTGGGACGTATTTTCAAATCATGTCAGAGAAAGACACCCTGTTTAATGTGTTTTCATGCATTTTCTTGTAAATATACGTCAGTTTTTGTGCGAAAATTCCTTATTTTTATGATTGGTCGGCTGAAGGTCCCTTATGCGTTCGGATCACTTGGGACGCTATTGTTTAACTATCCCACTCAAACTAACAGTCAGAGACTTTATGGCTTGATTTGAACCCTACCTAACCATTTTTTTAACTTTATCTAATATGGAATTACTTAATACCACAGTCCCCAAGTTTTACACATATATTTATCTAACATGAGATAACACAAGGGCTGCAACGTGTTTATCACTCTCAGAGAAGCCGTATAGCTGGACACTGTATGAGTTTGTTATTATCATAGATGGATGAAATTCGATATATATATCTTTATATACATATATATATATCCGGTTCAGAGTGCAATGCAACACACACACATACACACCAAAAAAAATTATTTTCTTACCTGACGCTCACACGAACAAGACGTCTAGTTAAGTTTCTTAACATAAGCCTTACCACCACATCATGTAGCATCAGCTCCGGTTGCACCAAAAGAAAACGGTATACGTCCTGTCAACGTCGACTAAGATGTCGTATTATAACCCCCAACTAAGTAATGGAAAGCCTACATAGCTGCTCAATTGACCAGTTCCTTCAGGCTATTCCTTACAGAAGGGGCATTACCGATTGACTGGGGGAATGCAATAGTCACCCATACTTACAAGAAAAGATTTAGACACTGTCCCTTAAAATACAGACCTACTATACTCTCAGAAGCATTTTAATTAAGACAGTGGAAGGGATAATCAGGAAAGTAATCACGGCTAATTTAGAAACAACTTTTTATCCAACGCATAACAGAGCTTTTCGGTAAGAGTTATCTTTAACATCTGACACACTTAACACCAAGGAATTGATAAGTGAAGTCCGCGGATAACAAAAAACTCATGACCATCTTTATAGAATTTAGAACGTTCTTGAAAAAGTGCTTCGTACAAGATTGCTTATGAAACTGGAACTTTTCAGCAACCCCATATCTTGAGTCTAACTTACACTTCAGTGAGGTGGAATTTGAAGTCACAAATGTTTTCCAAAATGATAACTTGACTGGAAAAACCATGCAGAACATTGCACATATGTGCTACAACTCAATTCACCACTATTCACAAGAGAAGATAGGAAAAGGCAACAGAGGTATTGTGATACTAGGATGTGAAATAAATTTCAAACATAACTGAAGTCTCAGTTGTCATCACAGGAAGACAACACTATGCACCAAGTCATCTACCACACCTACAAACAACTAGCAATATGAGCAAGGCACAGACCTAAGAGACACCATGCCAGTCAGTAACTCTTAATATCTAGCCATCAATCAACCACGTCCCGTATTCAATAAGCAGGTTTTGCACCATGTATGTCTAATCTTTAGTGGGTTGAAAACCATGGACACACAGGTGAAGTTACACTGATCCCAGATAAAAATTTGGAGGAAATGCAATGTTTTGCCTCCGAAAATCCCAAACCCTGTCTCATATGAAGCAGACACTTAAGGCCCGTTAAAAAATAAATTACAAGCATAGTATGTATGGTTACCGGGAAAACTCGCGCTGCTCCAGATAATAAAATCCCCACCTTTTTAGTAACTTTACGAAAATATCTAAATACACACACGTAACATTAGCCAGATTTCAGATTTATTGGTTGACGATAGAACGCTTGAAACCTATGTTAATCCTTTTCCAGTAAATTTCTGTGGTTGTCCAAACCCCTCTTGAACGAATCAGTTGAGGTTGCAGACACTACTTCTTCTGGGAGTCGGTCCCAAGAGTTTATTACTAGGTGTGAGAACCAGTACTCAACAGCAATATGATTTCCTCTTGGCTTTTGAACTCTCCTGCTATGTCCTCTAAGGTTTTCCGACCTGATGGGAAGGAAAAGAGAGAATAGGTCAGGTCCGTAGTCATTATTTGAAACTTTAAACATTGTGATTAAATCCACTCTCCGCCTACGGTATGACAGAGAGAAGAGATTTAAACTGTCTAGTCTTTCCTCGTATGATAAGTTAGTCATGCCGTGAACCATACGTGTTGCTTTCCTTTGAACACTTTCTAGAATGTGAGTCCCCGCTCAGACAAGGACTGGAGGTCTAAATAGAGTTCTCCAGTCTTGACCTCACCAGAAGTGTATGTAAGGGGGTGAACATATCTCTGGTGATTCTAGCCGCATCATATAGCTTGTATTTTCAGTAAGAAAAGCATTACACATTTATAATGCATTATGAAACTGATTAGCTCAAATAATTGCTACAAGATTTTACTATTCTTAATACATTAATCAAAATACTTACATAGGAGTCCTGGTAGCCAGGTGTATCTATAACACACACAGACCTCAGTCACAACTGACCAAGGAAGAAGACAATGACGGCGAGGAAGAGACTTGAATTAACCGGGTTACAAGCTAATTATCATCGTTTATAACAAGTCTAGATAGCCGGTCTTCCTCTTGTTCCAGTGATGCCACGTCAACGTTTCTATCTGAAAAAGAAGAAAGAGAAACTTGTTTAGTGGCATTATAGCGGTTTCTATTGCATTACACATCGACCGTACGCCGTGTTGCGGTAAATAATTCCCCAAAATTATTGACCACAGCAATCACTCATTGGATGCTGACCACCACTGTTTAAGTCGACTTGTTTAGCTGAAGGCTTCCGGTCAAGCATCTCCGCCATTTGGTACTCCGTCGTGTAACGTGCACGATCACTAGCTAGCTAAGCGTTCGTCTATCGGCTGATTTTGGTTCCTAAATACATTTCTTCGTTTGGACGACCAATTATTGGCTTTTGCTTTGTCTTTGGTACGCGAGAATAAATTAATTAGAAGTTGTTGAACGAGATATCACGTCAAACCTTTAATATCCGTCAACCTTTAAACTGGTGAGCCCGACCGCGAACTTAAACTGGTGAGCCTAACCGCGAACTTCATCTGCGACAATTACTCAGATAATCCCGGTGAGTTCGTTCCATTTTGTTTTTGTTCTTTTACCATATATTATTCTATATTCTCTTCGTCATGAGTGATCTTAGTCCCAAGGTCATTCGTATCTGCTCTACTCCTAAAACCATTCAGCTCGTACCATACTGGCCAGATAATGCTGAAACGTGGTTTCTGCTAGCTGAAGCAGATTTTTGTGAGCATGGGATAACTGATCAACGTTCACAGTTACTTGCAGTTATTCACGCCCTACCGCGGGAATTCAGCAAGTACGTAACATCACAGATGTTGAGTCCCGAGGTAAGTAACTCGTACGAGTTGCTGAAAGCATCCCTCCTCAGGAGAAACGCTCTCACGGACAGACAACGTCTAGATGAATTATTTCGCAACATCGAGTTAGGAGATCAGTCAGCCGTGAGCATGCTGACAAGAATGAAACAAGTCGTCGGCCAAAGTCAGTTCGACGAAGGACTGTTTAGAGAACTCTTCTTAACCAAGTTGCCACAATCTGTACAGACCGTACTTGTGACACTTGAGGGTACTGTAATAGAGAACTTAGCTATTACTGCAGATAAGATCCTAGAAATAACTTAACGGTCTGTCCCCGAAATATGCTCAATGACTAAGCAGACTTCGAGTGAGGATCCTGCAATGACAGAGTTATGCAACTCCCTTCAGCAGATGTTTAGGTCAAACACGCGTTCTAAATCCTCCAACCGTCGTCCTAAATCTCCTCAACGCAGGAACTCGCGTGGTCGATCTAAGTCCAAACCACGTTCACTGAAAAACCCTGACTGGTGCTGGTATCACAACACCTATGGCCAAGAAGCGAAGTGTTGCCGTAAGCCCTGTAACTTCGGTAATGTCTCAAAGTCTGTGGGAAACTATCCCGCCGGCACGCGTTAGCGGCAACCGTCGCCGGTGGCACTAGCCGCCTTCTTTACATCCATGATGTGATAAGTCAGACTCGATATTTAGTCGACACAGTGGCCGAATTCAGCGTCCTTCCTGCTACAGCAGCAGATCAACAGAAGGAACCTACCTTCAACTTACAGGCTGCAAATGGAAAACCAATCGCAACCCTTGGTAGGAAATACGTCTATCTGAACGTAGGTTTACGCAAACCTATTCGGTGGATTTTCCTTCTCGCTGACGTTACAATGCCCATCATTGGCACGGACCTACTTAATCATCATGATTTACTCGTAGACGTCCGCCGAAAACGACTGATTGACAATACTACTAGTCTGTCTATCAAAGGCATTACCTACATCGGCCCTAGCTTGTCACCCGTTAAGATAAAGGCAATTCTTGATCCAACTTTTCAACCTATTGTTGACAAGTATCCGGAACTTAACTGCCCGTCGAACGACCTACCGTGCATAACCAGCAATGTTATGCACCACATCGTTACCACAGGACAACCTGTGACATCTAAAGCACCACGACTAGCTCTTGACAATCTGAGAATCGCCAGGAATGAATTTGACCATATGCTCACCCTTGGCATCATTCGACCTTCGAATAGCCCATGGGCATCCCCACTTCATATGGTTCCGAAAAAGGATAGCAATGATTGGCGACCCACCGGTGATTACCGGCGAGTGAATGCCAAAACAACCCCCGATTGCTACCCGTTGCCTCATATACACGACTTGACGGCAACCTTATCCGGCGCGACTATATTCTCCAAAATCGACTTGGTTAAAGCGCATAACCAAATCCCGATGGCAACAGAAGACATCACGAAAACGGCTATCATTACGCCTTTCGGACTTTTTGAATTTCTACGTATGCCATTCGGTCTCCGGAATGCAGCCCAAACATTCCAACGCTTCAACGACGAAGTATTTCGCGGTCTCGACTTTGTATACGCATACTTAGACGACTGCCTCATTGCCAGTCCAGACAAGGAAACTCACCTCAGGCACTTGGACTTGGCATTTGACAGGTTACGCCAACATGGTGTTACCATCAACATTCAAAAATGTCAAATCGGTGTTGACTCACTCGACTTCCTGGGTCACACTATTGACTGCAAGGGCATTCGCCCACTGGCTACTAAGGTTGAGCCTCCTAAGAAAAACCGTTCTGGACACACCGTAAGGTTCCCAGCATATCTGCACACTTATTTCACTTAACGAATTCGTGTGATTCACGCAACTCACTCATTCGTGGTACTAACTATTTTTTTTGACGTATAAATTTTTTTATATACAGTACCACCAAACACAAAAATTTTTTTTAACAGTTCATGTAACATACACAAAAATTAATTATATGTATTTTTTTCGATGTTCTGAACTTAGCATTATTTTACTGTATAGTAAATGCACATAATTTTTTTTAACCAAAAAGGTCATTTCGTACATTTTCCTCGACATGGTTCTTAGCGTTCTTGTTTTCTTTTCCAGGTGCGACGGGCACTGGACAGGAAACAAACGAAGCACGGAATCTAAAGAACAACAACCAGGAAGCTATGTAGAAACACCCTATTAGCATAGGCAGACA